AGAATGAAGTCTGGGCTTTCTTGCTTTATCTTAGCAAACAGGTGTTCTATTCCTCCCTAACTGCCTTGGGCCTTGTGTGTCAGTTAGGATTAGATTTGGCTGTGAGTCAAAGAAGCACACACATACACACACACCAAAAACCAGAAAGTTAAAGAAAAAGAGTTTATTTCTCATATTTATAGAAGTCAAGACTTAGTCCAGGGCCACAGCAACAGCTGAGCTCTCAGGGGTCCTTGGGAATCCAGGTTCCTTCTACCTTGTTTCCCTACGTGTAGCCTCCATTCACAAGTTCATCTCATGGTCTCATATTGTTGCTCTGTCTCTAGCCATCAGATCTGCATCCCATCCGTGAAGAATGGAGTGACACAGAAGAAGAGGAAAAGGACAGGTGCCAGTTGTCTCTTAAGGAAGGTAGTTAAAACATGTCATATGACTCTTCTGTGTATCTCACTGGTCAAAACATAGCTGCAATGGAGACTGAAAAATGTAGGCCTTACTGCAAGTAGGACTGCACCATCTAAGAATTTAGGGTATTATTGTAGAGGATAACAGGTTAGTCACACCTTGGAATTTGGCATCTGAGTTAGTGACAAAAACACTCTTGACACCAACATACTGATCATCAGCCTTCTTCAGTTTCTTAAATTCCACCAGCCCAGCCAGAGCTCTTTCTCACCACTGGCCCACACTAGTCCTTTTACTTAGAATGCTTTCCCTTCTCTCAGTCTATCTAAATTCTACCAACCCTTAAAGGCTGAGTGCAAGCCCCACCTTTTGAGAGAAAACCCTTTTTCTCTTTCAACATCCGAGCAACCTCCTTTCCAGACTCCGATAGCACACATTACCTATACAGCAATCTGACCATTGGCATGTATAGACATATATGTTACATCCACATGAATGCCTTTTACCTTCAATGAGAATGTAAGTTCCTGTGTGCCCAACAGATACCAAGACTCCTCTCTTATACCTCTCATACACCTAGGTGTATGTGTAGTCCTATGACTCCTGTTGTGCCTGTCACTTAGATGTTAGAGTTGGAGAAACAAACATAAAACCAAGAGCCACGAGAAATGAATCAGAAAGAAACCCAGCTCTGACCTTAACTAGTCTGTACCCTGGGGCAAGACCTTATCTTCTCTGAGCTTCAAGTTTCTCATCTCAGATGAGGATGTACTTGCCTAAGTGAATCCAGCGGGCTGTAATAAGGAACAAGATGCACACACATGCAACACACAAACACACACACACATTTTGTATAATGCTAAAATTGTAGCTGTATATCTTCTGTTAAGTTTTTTTACTTCAAGTCAAAGCAACCAACAACTCTGGCTAAAGGTGTTTCTGGACTAGAAGGGCAGGTTGCTCACACAGTCAAGGGCATCTGGAGCCCACTCCTGGAAACATGGGGTGCAGGGCAGCTTCAGGATCCAGGCAGCAGGAGTATTTGGCCATCCATCAGCTGCACCTCTGGAAACAAACTAGCTCTAAACAAGTTCCCAGCTCTGGACCATACCATCAAAGTCTGGAGAGTGATTGGCCGAGCTTCAATTAGATGGCCCAGCAGCCCCAGGGCCACCTTCATTTATAGTCCTACAAAGACTGCACCCAGTAGAGGAAGGCCAAGTCCTCAAGAAAACTCAGGGAGATGTTATCAGAATGAATACATCAAACACCCACTACAGTGTTTCATAGACATGTGCTGATTAAGTCACAATGGGCCTTTGCTTTGATGACAAAGACACTTTGCATTGTAAGATTGTAACTGTAAGCTACTTCTTTAGACCTGATATGTGAACTCCTTTGGAGAACATCAACTTATGAGACTATTTCTGATCATGGAGGTTAGAAGAAAACTTTATACAAAGCCAAGTGTCCTTTGTGGCTTTTAATACAGTGGAAAGTCAAGTTTCATGAAGTTTTTAATTAATGGCTATTTCCCTCATAAGATGTGAGGATCAATGTCTCTTTCTGCTCACCTCTCTATAGTTCTCACCTACCCCAGAACCTAGTGTATTCCAGGTGCTTAATAAATGCTAAATAAATGAAGGAATAAATGATTCAATAAGGTGCTTCAAGGACCAGATAAATTAGTCAGCTCCACCACCATCTGGGGAGGTCCTTGCTACCAGTGGTGACAGGTTAGTGGTAGTCTTCCCTTCCTAAGTGTGGGGGCAGCAGGAGGGAGGTTAAAATTACCTGATACTCCATTCACTGGAGCTAGAACACCTGAGACTCTTTGACGAGGTACAGAAGACTCAGAAAGCCATGACAACAGCAACCCACAGCTTCAAGGAGAAGAAACCAGTCCTCCGTTCTCTATTCTAGGGTATCCCTCTGTCACCATGGGCATCTGCCAATAGGAGCACTTTCCCCTGGGAACAGTTTCCTTAGGGGCTCTTACTAAGAGTATGCTGCGAAGCCCTTCAATTTGCATAACATCCAAATCTGCAAAGTTCTTTCCTACTTATTTCTTTGGTGTTCATGATGATTTGTGCAAAGGCCAAGTGTCCTTGGCTCCATTTGCAGGTGCAGGAAAATGGAGAGACTTGCTTACAGTTACATATCTAGGGAACTTCATACATGATCCAGACTTTGAGACTGCATAATCTCTACATCACATGTAGACAGACTACATTTTGAGCATTTAAAAAAACCCTCAAGGCCTCTTTTAAGCCCTGATGATAGCTTTCCCTTCTTGACATCTAGCATGTTATACCATGGTAAACAAAGGGACTCAGGAAAGCAATGTATTAATTCAGTTCTGATTCCATTAGGACTTTTGGTGGTGCAGTTTTGTTGTGGTCATATCATTCCCTTGTAGTTACTATTACCTACTAACTGGTGTGGGCAGTTTTCATCCAGTTTGTCATGATTTATGTCGTGGCCCCCAGGCCTCAAGCATTTGCATTGTGCATTTGTGATTGGTTCATTGTCTAGCGCATGGATTGATGGTGTCAGTGCTGCAGCCACCTAGGGGTGGAGCCAGCATACAAGGTAATGGCAGGAAGAAGATGTGTCACTCTCTCTTGGTGGTTTCCACCTTGCTGTTTGCAGCTGCCATTTGCAGTCCCACCATGCCACCCTGCCTTTGAGTCAACTGAGTATGGACTGAAACCTCCAAAAACTGTAACTTACAAATTTCCTTTCCCAACTTTGGGCATCAGGTATTTTGTTTCAGTGACAAGTTAAAAGTAACCAAGACACAGTTTGAGTTGATTTCAAAGAAACAGAAAAAGAGAGGGAAACATCAACACTGATTTTACTTGCAGTATGGTTAAAATTTTATTTGGTCTTGGTTGGAAATGGCAAGGTAATTCCATCTTCTTCCCATTTTTGACCTGTGCTAGGTCAACTCCTTTCTCTCCCAGACAGTAAATACTTAGCCTTTGTCTCCAGGTTCTCCAACCTTCATAAATTGTAACCCACCCCCCTACAAGTTTCAAACAGCAGGTGTAAGAAGATGGCTGGAGAATCACCTATGACCTGACCACTGTTCTTGTAAGACACAGTTGATAAAGTGTCTTCATAACTGGAATTGTATCTGCATGCCAGGAAAACACAGTACAAGACATTTTCCCACATATATAGCTCAGGTTGGGTGAGGCCCACATAGAGATTTAACAATCCTGGGGTGAGACCTAGGAGGAGGCACTTCAGGCCAGGAAAACCAGTGTCTTCTCCATTTCTGTCACCCGTGGTCAGAGTCCTCCATAAGCCATTCTTCAATGACCAAACCCTGAGAGTAGGCCCACAGGCCGATCAGGGAAACACATCTGTCCTTTAGCAGTGCCCAGTGCAGGACTAAGTGCTTTGTGTGTCTCATGTGCCCTGTGTCATAACCCCTCTGAGGAAGTGACAAGTGTGATCTCCATACGTCACACAGGGTATCAGCTCAGCAAGTGAAGCAGATGGCCCACAGCCACACTGCATGAAAGAGGAGAAGCTGGGATTTACATCTAGATGTGTCTTCTCAGAGCTGGAAGGGGACAAATAGAGGTGACATCCAGTGAAGGCTTGGGTGCTATGAGCCAAGCCTTCAGTATACATGGAAGGGAGTCATCCTCCAACCCAAAGTCCCTCCTGAATCTTTTATGAGATTAGAACCTAAATTTACATTGTGCTTGATCTCTTATAGAATTAGGCACCTGTTCATTGCAGCAGGTAGTGTTAGCCCAGTTCTCCCAGACAGGCACTCGAGCCAGCTGTGCAGAGTGCTTGAGAAGGCCGGATGCTCTGACTGCAAAGGATGAAGTCCTGTCAACTGAACAACCACAGGACTAAAGTTCACATTCCTGGGCTCCCTTTGGAAGCTGGAGCTAGGCCAGCCTATGGCCAGCCTCAAGAGGCCAATATGAGATACAAACCCTCCTTCAGGGGCACTGTAACTCACATATTTCCTTGTAAGCCATCAGCAAAAGGCACAGCATGGGATGAGTGAACCCAAGGTGGGAGTAATGGGGTCTGAACAATTGCAGACAGTGACAAAACAGTCACAAACAATGAGGCTATCCTTTGAATATGCCCTCTGGTCTTCTTTCCATACCATTTCACTACTTCATTCCTCTATAGTCATAATCAATGCCCAGTCATCTATCCCATTTGGAATTACTGAGACCTCTACAAGGAAGTCAGACTGCTGCTCTGCTCTCTCATCCTGGAGAAGCATTGACCCTAAACTCTGCTTGGGAAAACTTCCTCCTGACCCATTACTTCATCTTGATTTCCAAGCAAACATTAACCCAAATTCTGTACAAAGGAACTTTATGGTGATGATGCAATGTTTCCAGCACCTTCTTCTTGGGTGTCCTGCAAAGACTGGGGTCTTGATCCATCTTGGCTGGAGGTTGAAGACCGTCTTCTCCTTATGTTTTGTTGTATTCATTCTTTGCATTCACTTGAAGCTTTACCAGAAGCTTATCCCCAGGGCCCTGTAGACCAAACTCCCAAGTTCCCCTGGTTCTCTGTTCACCCTCCCAACCCAGAATAAACAACAGCTCTTTTGTAAGAGGTTTTTAATTTCATCTCGGTATGTCATTAGGGAGCGGAATAAAGGATCTCTATTGGCTTTCACTCATATAATGTCTGCTACATTCTCCAACTGATCTACACCACAGAAACCTGCTGAGCCACTCAACATCTGCATAATTTTCACTCTTTAGACTTATTTGGGTTTCTTGGTGGTTTGCATAAATATAAACAAGAGCACAAAAATCACACAACATAGATGCTACCATAAGGGGTCATGTTCTCTCTGGCCATGCAGAGAGCGAAGGGGAAATGTGGCTGAATTCAAGACCCTGATGATGTTCCTAGGAGTGAGGCCAAGCCTGTCACAGCCCCTCTTGGATGGGTCCTAACCTTCCCTCTGATTCCTGACTGGCACTAGTTTCCCAAGAGGCTTCTCACACAGAAAGATCCCATCCTAGCACCATGTTTGGGGACCAGGGTGTGGACCTGCCCCTGTGTACGACGGCTGCTGGGTCTTCTGTGTTCAGGGCCAGTGAAAGAAGTCAGAAGGAAGAGTCTGGTGTTCTACCTAGTCATTCCACCTCTGTAAGTCCCAAGAGGCTGTCTAGAGACCAGCCCTCTACAACAGGGGCTACTGACATCCTTCCGTGAAGTGTTAGATAAGACAGACAGTAAATATTTCAGGATGACCACACCTGCCATCTGGTCTTTGAATAAAAAAGCAGGTCTGCAATCATACTCTGTCATTCCTGCTCTAGTACACCACCCTCCTCTCCTCCATCCCTTAGCCTGAGCCTCTTTCCCACGAAGGACTCTAGCATCCCACTGAGCTGCTGTCACTGCCAGCATCAACTATGCAGATGACTTCAGTATGCAGAGGTGCCTTTGGGCACCAGTCATAGGAGTCTGCCTGCCCTGCAGTGCCAAGTGTCCTCCTTCCCTGTCTGGGGGGTCTGCTTATATTTCAAACCAATATCAGATCTTAGTCTTAGCCTTGCTCATGCATCCGGGGTGAAGCTTCAGTGGCTCCCAGGGAGGTAGGTACATGCTGTCAGCCTTGTCCCACTCTTGCAGAGGCTGTGGCTCAAGTGCAGAACCGACCCTCCTAAAGCTGCCCCAAAACCTTGTGTCAGAATTAGAAAGAAAGCCCAAAAGTCTAGGCTTTGTATTTTGTGAGCACACATTCAAGGATTGCTCTCCAATCCTCTCCACTCAAGCTCACCAATCCAACAGCAGAGAGAGGAAGAATCCAATGAAACACCACCAGCCACACTGAGTTGCTTTCCAGACCTCAATGACACTCTGAAAACAGAACGAACTCAAGCACTCACAGCTACAGGGCCAGATGGAGCAGCCCTCTCTGCCCTGCTGACAAGTCTCTTCAAACTAAAAATAAAGTTTATAAAAGTAAATTATCTCATTTTATAACTTAAGTGCATCAAGCATTTCCTTAAATATAGTTCACACTGAAAATAAAGTTACTTTTGCTGTACAGTTGGTGTCTGTTATAATTAGGAATAAACTTTGATGATAAAGTAGGAAAGGTTATACACACACATCTACCTATCTGTCTGTCTTTCTGTCTGTCTGTCTATGGGTGTGTAGATGGAGAAACATATGCACCTCTTGACAGGAGCTTCCCCAAAATGGTGGGAAGTTGTTGGGAGTCCTTAGGTATCTAGTTTGCATGAAAATGTCTATATTAAAAGTCCCTGTCCTCAATGATAAACACATCTTCATATCTAATGCTAAGACTCTTATTAGAAACATTAAACTATGCAATCCATAATGTATTCAGTCTTTGGAAATGCCAAACTACACCAAATCATTATACAACAGCATTCCCAACACAACTCCCTCCCCACCCACCTCTTCCCTGGCCTCCCCATCCTAAAGCCAGTGACCCCTCATACAACATGGTTGTTCCATATGGGAGCCTAGCCACAGAGGTGAAGGGAAGACTCAAGAGGTGAAGTAAGAATTCTGCATGGAGTACAGGTGATCAATGGGGTTTCCCACTCTGGACTGCAGGGGCCCGGCTTCTGAGGTTGCTAGGAAACAGTCACCCAGGTTACTGAGGGAAGTGTCGTCACTATCCAGGTCATGGAAAAGGGGCTCAGCACCTGAAATGGAGATGAAACACTGACATGAGAGTCTGGAAGGAGTTACTCAGTTCAGTACTAGGAAGTGCAGCTGGATTCAACATGGGTGGCCTCAGGGGACACTTTCTACTGGGTGCCAGGGAATGAGTGGGCATGAAGGGAACTAAACACAAAATGAGGAGAGTCATAAGATATAGTCTGTCTAGGGGACTCATGTCCACATGGGAATAAGTCAGCACAATATAACCTGGGATGTGACACAGAGTTCAACTGAGCACATCTTAAACCAGTGTTGGATGGTGAGGAAGGGGTGGGAGAAAGCCAATACCAGAGGTTAGAGAGACAGAGTAGGGGTCCTAGAACTGTTTCAGAAGGTGCAGGAACGGTGGCATAAGTGCATTCAGAGTACTGTATTTTGAACTTGATAGAGTATTTCAAGGGGAACGCATGAAATATGTCTTTTGTTGTAGTAAATTTTCTTAAAATTTTCAACCATCCCTTTTACTGAGTCCCTTTTGTCTCCCTTTGTGCCACACAGGAAATGAAAATTTGGTGCCTGTCCTCAGCTAGTGTGCACCACAGTGGAGGAGCCCATGACGCAACTTAGGGAGCAGTAGACGAACCCCTGCAACCAAACCCCGAAGGGGCCATGTGTCCCACCAGCAATAAGTAGGACAGCTTCAAACTGGAGTTTGTAAAACTTGTCATGGGCTTTAATTACTCATTCCACTGTAGGGTTCATTACAGGGATCTTTTCTGTAACAAGACCCCTGAGATTCTGAAAATGTAAGAATTTGAAAAAAACAAAACAGAACAAAATCTGAAGTTGAACTTCCACCTTCCACTCCAAAGCTCACTCTACTCTGTCTCAAAGCCTCACTAGCTAAATGTTGATCTAAGTAGAAATCTGGACTCTTATGGGAAGCTCAGCTAAGAAGCCTTGAAAATAAGAATCAATAGAAACATCACTGATGAACCTGCATGTGCATCTTTCTCCTGGTTAAATGACTCCAGCTGTATTTTGTGGAACACTCATTCTGCAAGGGAACCACTGTGAACATCTGGGAAATGCATAGATGTGACTGGGAAGGAAGAAGAACCCTGCACAGAAAAGATAGAGAGGGCCCCTTGGGGCGTGGGTCTCTCTTACCATAAGGGTGCATGTGATCTCCAGGCATCTGGGGTGGGGTGAGACCCTGCCGGAAGGGATCGGAGGTGTAGACACTCTGCTCGATGGCCAAGAGCTGCTGTGGGGTGGGTAGAGCTGTGTAAGGGTTCATGATCCCTTCCATGGCAGCACTCCCACCACCATTTGTCTGAGCTGTGGGAAAAGAAGAAGGCAGGTAATCGTCAATTTGCAGCCCAGCACTCCACACAGATGTCACATTCGTCACTCCCAGGTCCCCACTGTTACCGCTCCTCCAGGCTGCTCCTTATGGCATGACAGAGCAGTGATCTAAGAGTGCTCAAAGCAGCATACATCATGCCTTTTATGACCCAGCCTTGGAAGTCATGCTTTGGTGCGGACCTATTCAGTATTGGTGATTACAAAAAGGCACAAACAGCTTCTGCGGTGAGATGCATGGTGACCATGTGGCAGCTGGTGACTGAGTAAGCTGTGTGACTGCAGCTAGATCATCTTATTTTCCTGGGCCCTACTTGCTTCATTTACAAAACAGAAGGGGGTACAGTGACAACAGTGGTTCCCAGGCTGGGCCTTAGGAAGGCACCATCACCTCAGAGGTCAGGGATAGAGTGGAAGCTGAGCAATTGAGATTTGAGAGCATCTCTGAACTCCATCATTGAACTGAAGAGATTGGTTACTCTACTTAAGTTTGGCAGCTTATGGAGTGAATGAATCTAAAAATCCTTGCAGCAATAACCACTATGAGCCCATTAGTCAAATGGGAATCATGATCCTGGACCAGCTGATCACCCTCTCCCTGCCCAGGGCTGACAAGAAGAACCACTCCTTGTTGCACTTGTGTAGCTTATGAGAAACGTTATGGGTTCCTGTCTCCACATTCTTGTTATGAACATGGTTCTATTAACTCCCACAGTCTCTCTTTCTCTCATCATTTGCATTCTTTAGTCTACACTAAGAGCTTTCCTGATAATTCTTTAAACAAAACCCTAAGCACTAAAACTCTGTGTGTTCTCTCTTTGAACTTGTTGGCCTATATGGGATCAATTTACATGGGTCTCACACATATCTGTGACTCTCTTTGAACATTACAGCATCCTAATGATATAGAGCTAGCAGATACTCGCCCATCCTAAGAATGCACAGACTGAGGCATGAAAGATATGGAAAAAATCAAACAGCATTGTGGGCAGAGCAGAAAGCAGAATTTAAGTCTCCTGACCAGCCCACTGTTTATCCTTCCTCCCCAGCATCCATCCCATGTATCAGTTCTCTCTTTTAGTATCTCCCTTGTTAAAATACCATTGTTTAGAGGATAAGAAATCAAAGGAACTCTTGCTACAGGAGTCCAGATCCAGACTGAGCCTAGGTCAGGTGTCAAGCATAAGGATAAGGGACTCTGCAGAGGACCCTGAGAACCAACTTCTCACTGTGCAGCTTTCACAAGGGTGTCCACAGACCATGTAGAAGCTTGATTAAAAAAACTCAGAATCTTGCACCCTAGGCCCTTCTTGTGAGCTGGAACTACTTCAACACTAAAGGTGATCTATGTACACATTAAAAATGTAAGAAGTCCCACTCCAAAGTAGAGACTCTACAAGGAATTCTCATGATGACTGAGTTTGTGTGAGAGAGCACATTTCCTTAGGAAAGACATTGTTCTAACACAGTGATTTTGATAATTTTTTGTCCTTTGCGCCCCCTTGAAGAGTCCCACAACCTCTCCCTCTTCATTGTCTCCCCAGTCTTCTCACCATGACCCCTATTTTTTAAAAAAATTAGTAGGGATAAGTTAGGCAGCATATTTTAGCGGAACACAGAATCAGAAAGATGAGTTCTAATCCCAGCTCCTTTCCTTACTGACCTAGGACCCTGTCCTGACTTGAAAGTCTTTATTTGGTCATCTGTGAAATGAGAATAATAATAACTTTTCTGCTCACTTCAGGTAGTGGTAGCTGTGAGTTCTAGCCGATAGGTGTGAGAATACTTTGTGAACAACAAAACTTCAGGAAAGGAGTTGATGAATATTCTGTTATCCTTATTTGCATTATTTTGGAAAGAGGTGCTATGATCAGGATCTCAAATGTCCTCGGAAGACACATTACTAAAATCTTGGTCACCAGCCTATGTGCGATTGGGAGGTGTTGCCATCTTCAGGAGCTGGGGCCTCATGGGAATAATGTGGACCAGTGGGCATGTCCCCATGAAAAGGAAATTTCAGCCCCTTCTTCACTCTTTTTGCTTCCTGTCCACCAAGCATTAGCATTTTCCTTCCACATACTTTGACCATAACATTCTGCCCACCACAGACCCAAAAGATAACAGGGTCAAGTGATCACTGACTGAAACCTCTGAAACCATGAGCCAAAATATACCTTTCCTTCTTTCCATTGATTATATCAGATATTTTGCCACAGTGTTGAACAGGTAACACAAGGATTTTACATCAGTGGTATATTCTGTTAAACTGATTATCCTGGAAGGAGGACAGGGCAAGATAAGGCACAGGACATGCCTTGACTCTTTTGTGTTCCTGGTCCAGATGAGATCAGGGTAGGGAGCTTGGATAACGCTGAGCCACCTCCAGTCAGCTGGCCTAGACTGTGGCTCACACGCCCTCAACACTTGCAAGTTTCTCCTGGCTCAGGCCCCACGGAAAGGTCTTATCTCTCACACTGGTATCTGAGAACAGATGGTCCCTCCAGGCACTGAGCCACCAGCTTACCAGAACTGAGCCTCTGTGTGTTCTGCTGGTCTTGCTGCTGTTGCTGCTGCCTCCTGGCCAGCTTCTTCATCTGACAGGGGAGGAGGACCACAGGGTTAGGAGTCAAGGAAGCAAAGGCTCACACCCTCCACAGGGTGGGGGCAGGAGAGTGAAGCCTTCCCCCCTAGTGAGAGAGTGATTTGTAAACTCGGGAAGTGTTTCCCAAGCTTTTTCTCCACCGAGGAGCAGCACCTCATCACAACTGAGGCCTCTTATACTTTGCAGTGGAAACACCGCTGGCAGTGATGAATTTTGTCTGCTCAGAAACAGGGATTACCTCTCAGCAAATACAACTTGCTGCTTACACTTGGACAGCTTCACGCGAGGTAATAATTGTACACATAAATGTGGATGTCCCAGCCAAGATAGATGTGGATTCAGGGCTGCTGACAAAGTATAAGATGGGCCAAGAGACTTCTCCCTCCCTCCCGTCTGCTGGGCTTGTGTTTGTTACACCTCCCGAGGAGGATTTCGTGTCTCTAGGCGGGAAAGCACATTTTAACCCAATGTTTCTCCAATTGTGTTCAGTGGGATATTAGGGTTCCATGAAATGTTAACATATATGCTTTTAGACTTTGTGTGTGTGAGAGATACAGAGTGGGGAAAGAGAAGGGATGAGGAAAGGAGAGGGAAGAGAGAGAGCAAGAAAAACCAGATTTAAATGTTTTTCTTTATTGCAACATTTTTCCCAAATTTAAATGTGTTCCTCTGCTTTATGACAACATAGTATTTAGGGCCTCTCAGACCTGCCAGCCCAGAGAGTCTCTTCCTAATGGAACAATACATCAAAAGCCCTGTTCTGAAGAATTTGGTTAGGGAAAATGCTACCTTAACCAATCATGATCAAATAAGGACACCACAGTCACCCACTGAAGGCCGAGATAGTAGAGGAACAGGCCAGGGCATGTGTGTATTTAGAAGTAGGAAGATAAATGAGCCAAGTTCAAAACAAAGACAGTGCTGGGGAAACACAGGCGCTGGTGGGATTTGGAGGACGGTATGATGGTGTGGGGCTATGCCCATAAGGGGCAGTCCCGGGGTGAGGACTTTTGTCCACCATGCCAACACGTCATCTCAGACCGGTCATATGTGTGCCTTTGGGGCTTCTCTTTGAAACTTTCAAATAACTTTCGTATCCAGATTAAATATATACAAGTTAAAAACAAATGTAAATTAAAGATCTTTATTTATGTCTTTATATAAAGACATTTATTTATGTAGATAGCTGGCCAAATTCCTGTGCAGGGCCAGTAGAAAAATAAAAGTCATTGCACTAAAGCAATTGCCACAGGGCTTCTGTGGCTGAAATAATTGTGGATGACGGGATTTTTTTCATCAAGAGGGCTTCTCTGTCTAATGCGTTCAGGTTAAAAATCCTGGCAGCAAGTCTAAAATCCTACTGTTACTGTTCAGAAAACAAGCAACCCAGAAACTCAAAAGAAGCAGCAGCAGGATTACCTTAGCTCTCTGGTTCTGGAACCACACCTGAACCACACGGACACTCAGCCCAGTCTCTGCAGCCAGAGTCTCCCTCACCTTGAAGAAAGCAAACATTATCAGAGGAGAAACACTAGTGCCCGGGGTAGGAGGCAGAACATCCTATGCACAACAGTTGTCTGGAAACTTTTTTTGTACCAAGGACCAGTTTCGTGGAAGACATGTTTTTCCATAGGCCAGGACGGGGCATGGTTTGGGGGTGATTCAAAGGCACACACAACCTAGCTCCTTTACATGTGCCTTTTACAGCAGGGCTCACACTGCTGAGAGAATCTGATGAGCTGACAGAATGTAGAAGTCATGTGGCCATGTGACCCAGGGGGAATGGTTGTAAATATAGATGATGCTCACCTTCCATTCACTTCCTGCTGTTCGGTCCAGTATCTAACAGGCCTGCGGGTTAGGGCTAGCTAGAGACTCATCATCATAAACTCAAACACAAGAACAGGTCTCCCTTCAGGTCAAGAGGGGACCTTCAGAAAGTAACAAAAAAAGTGACACCCATTCATCTAAATGTATAATTCCTCAAACTATTTCTGGTTTTCTTTATTCTGAAACCAGGTCTTCAAGTGGGTCTTAGATATTATTGAAGACTACTATGCTTTATTGAAAGACCATATGTACTCATTAGCCTACCTAAGGAGAGTGGGGGTTAAGGATCATTTTGCAAAATGGTTCTCTATTGCTTTCTTCTCTTGTCCAAATTCACCTAGATTTTTGGTTTTGTCCCTCCAGCTCTAGGTGACTTTGGGTGTTTTACAATTATCTATATTTGGTGTTGTCCTGAGTAAGCCCTTTCCAGAGAGCCATCTGGAAGCTGGCAGAGCCAGGTGGACAGTTCTGATGTGGCACCTGCACTGGGGCTTCACGGAACTGAAGACAGTAGGGATCCAGGTAATAAAGAGATGAGCTGAAACATCTGCCAGCCATCCAGGCACATGGTGAGGGGCCGGCGGGACAGTGAGAGGCAAGCACAGAGTGGGCCTGAGAGACTGTGACCCTTCCCGATGGATCCCAGAGAAGGGACTGAAAGAGGCTACTGAATATGCACTTCAGCAGAGCTACTGCAGGCCTCGAGTTCTTTTCTCGCCCCTTTTGGGCTGAAACTTTGAAGTGTGATGATTAGGCCAGATTTTAAGGCACATCCTCCTGCTAAGCCACCTACAACAGGGTATGCACAGGCCCCCTTGCACCTGCTGACACCTTATCCATGCTCAGAGGCCCAGCTCAGAAGCCACCTGCTCCACAAAGCCCTGCAGAGTCTGCAGACACAGTGACCTTTCCCTTCCTGCAGCTCCCCTGCCTCCTGGATGTCACCAGTGCTCTTCCTGGCATTATAGTGTGCTTCACCTCTAAGCAGGTGGCTGTAAACTGCCTGGGGACAGGTACCTGGCACAAGGCCATCGAGAGGGTAGGAGTGCACAGAAGAGAAGGGTTAGCAGGACAATTCGGATTTTACCCTTCACTCTCTATAAGTACCATCTGGGAATGGAGAGAGTGGCAAGAGGAAGGAAAGGAGAACTCTACAGCTAAGTCTTAAAAAGTCAAAGCTGTGACTTTTGTCATACATTGTTCAGCAATTATCTAAAACATCCCCACCCTGTTCTGTATGTACGCGGGTAGGGCTAGGGGGTGCTTCAGCATCACACCCATGTTGGTCTAAGCCCCATGACTTTTTTAGGACAGTGGGACCCAAGTGGATGTGATCAGTGTGATATCCATACATGGATATCCCTGGGCTTCCTGCTCTGACGTGGCCTCTTGCTTTATCCCATCCTCATGAGACCAACCAAGAAATGGGTTGGATCTGCTGCTCCTCAGCCAGGACCCTCAAATGAGTTACTGGAGGCATGGGCCTAAACCTGAGCCCAGCAAGGCCCCAACCCATGGCCAGCACAGAAACCAGGAAATACATTTTTATTAGGAACCACTAGGATTTTGGGTTGTTTCTTCATCTCAGGGAAAGTTGACTAATACAGATAGGGTCCCAGGAAAAATACAGTGCTAATTTTTAAAAACTATTTATTTTATAAATTTAAAAATAGAATGCGTTTGTTTCTTTTAACGTGTAAATGATAGTATATGGTATATAGAAGGCAGTGCAATAAATCATGAGTGCTCAGTGAAAGGACACAGTCATTTGTGGCAGGGACTACAAACTGTCCCCAGGATCCATCTTCTCTCTCCTGCCAATACCTGAATATTTAAATTTTAACAAGGCACAAGGCGACCAGCTAGATTCATTCTCTTGCTTTTCTTGCAGGAAACATGACTGCTGGAGTCAATTCTGGCCAGTGTACTTATGTGGGTAGAATTGGTGTGAGCAAACCCTGGGTATGTCCTCAGAAAGGTAGCTGCCTTCCTCTTCCTCTCCCCCACCCCACCCAGCAGCTGGAAAAATGGAAACAACTGGTGACCCCCCCTTGGACTCACATGATGAATAACAGAGCTGGCCTATCGCTTTTGGCTTGCTCTCTGTTGGATGGTTACATGAAAGAAAAATAAACTCCCATCTCATTAGGCCACTGCCGTTTTTCTACAGATGTTCAAAGTAGCCCTCTTTTTAACAGCCCAAGTTGGATACAACCCAAACCCCTATCGATGGACAATTGGGAAAAAAACATGGAATATCCAGAGAGTGGAACAACATCCAACACAAAGAGAGACAAACTACAGTATGAGTGAATCCCCAGTTAGTATGTCAAAAAAACAAAAAGCCAAGTCCTCACCATCACCGCCAAAATCAGTACATCTTGCAAGTCGCCATATTTTTATATTCGTCATTGCAGCACCTTGGTCTATATCACAACTAATACTTATTATTATTATTATTATTATTATCACTACTATTATTCCCATTGCTCTCCAGAAAATGAGAGGTATAAGCCAGAGCTCTTTGGAGGAGATAACCACACATGAAGCCATGGGGAAAAGATTCTGTTCCTTCCCTGGCCATACCTTGGAAGTTCCTGGAGACTCCATCAGGGATTTCCACCTGCACAAGCTCTGTCTCATCTGCTTTCCCAACCTCTCAGACTCCTAGAAGCCTCTGCCATCCCAGAAGAGTGGGCCCTGTTCCACTTTCTCCCCTCTCCCCTGCTGACCTTTCTGCAGGGCTTGGAGGACACTTCAAATGAGGCCTTGAATGCTCTCCTCTGCTGGGTCGTCAAGATGGTTCTGGGACGCTTGGGACGCTTATGGTCCTTGCCATCCTCAGGGGTTCCTTTCCCTGCTCCCTGGGATGACTTGCAAAGACTTTCTTCATCATCACTCTTGCCTAGAAAAGGAGAAAACCATGTCATGTACCCCAGAAGGCATGTTCTAGAGCTGTATGCTGTTTCGTAACAAGACACTCGGGTGCTGTGCTCCCAGATGCCTCCATGTGTGAGTGCAACGACCCGAGTGCTACTGATGTGCAAGCTTCCAGAAAGAGGCTAAGAAAATCACAGGAAACAGAAAGGCCTTTTGTGCCTCACTGTGATGCCCTGGCTCCATTTTCACCAGCTACCAAAGGTGATCCAAATATATGGCAAACAGGTAAATTATTTTTTTAAGTTTATTACAATAAAGACATAGTGCCACTCTTCCCCCTCAGAATTCTCCTCCTTGCTGTGGACACACTTATCTCATGGTTTTTGCCACTTTCTGAAGCAGTTCTGGAAGCCCTCTTCCTTTAGTGGCTTTATAAGTTGTGATCAAAACTATGGTGAATGCAGCTGCTGAGTGCCATCAAAGCGAAAGGCACATTATAGTGTGACTTACTCTACCTTCGTCACCAAATCTACCACCATGCAGCTTCCAGCTCTTCCCTAAAGTGAAAACTACCATGAAAAGTAAATGTTTTGGATCAATTCAGTTCTAAGAAGTGGCCACAACAGCACAACTGCAAACACTCACTAAGAAGAACTGCTTTACATAGTAGCAAGAATGATAGGACAATGATTAGAATAAGGGGGAGTATTTTGAGGAGAATCTATGGCAATGTGTCTTTTACTGTAATAAGCTTTTAAAAATTTAAACATTCACTGCATTTTTCAATCACACCTTATATATAACCTTGTTAACTCATCCTTTATAACCCAATTACTTCATCTGCAGATTGTGATATAAGAGAATCCACTGCATTGGGATTGCTGCGAGGGTCACATGAGCTATAATCAGTAAGATCCTTCAAGTGTAGCTTGGCACATAAGAAGGGCTCAGTAAATGTGGGCTATTCATATGATTTTCTAGACATCATTTTTGGGACAAGACCTGAAGGATTTATGCATAACTCTCTAGACACTGTGTCTAAAATTCTAGCCACTACCAGAAGGTAGGAAATAGGACCATATAAAATACCATTAATGACCAGCATCAAACTTTACCTATGGGCACAGCTCACTGAAGAATGACCAGAAAATACCAACAACTCATCAATAGTGCTTGTCTATAAAATACATAACTCCCTGCTAAAATAGCTATAAAACCCAAGCACTCCTTCAACTCCATAAGCAGAGAGAAACATGGGGAAATTGTAAATGGAATAAAACCTTCAGGGAAAGTCACATTTTACCCCTGACTATCTCCTGGGTCTGGAAACACCCCTGGGACACAGACTTTTTCTATGTGGGGCACAAAAAGCCAAAGGCAGCTGTATCCTCATTATCCCAAGAATTCCCCCCATCTCTCACCTCACCGAAACTCCATGTCTTCCTCCCTGCCAGTGAAAACCTTGGCCCAAAGGGCTTCCTTTGCCCCGGGCCTTCTGTCCACATCAGGAAAGCCCAGCCCACACACATGTGTGCTGCCTGCCTCCTTTCCTACTCCTGCCACCTCTGCTCAGGGTGCCCCTTTGCAATGCAGCTTTGGTTCCACATCAGCTGATTGCTAATTTTTTGGCTCTACCACGGCCAGAAGATTTATTCCACCCAAAAGAGCAGTAGCTTCTTCTTTCTATGGAAATTGAGACAAATAACTTGGACAGACAGGAAACACTCTCCTGAAAACCTTGAACTGGAAAGAGACTGATACAGGCAGCTGCTCCCTCTCCTGGCTCTATGTAGGGCCCTATGTCAGTTACAATATGTCCCCAGCCACCTTCTGCATCTATACATTATGACAATGACACCCAGACAGGGAAACAGTACAAAATACACATGTGGTATAATAGATGTTGTGGAAAAAGTTATCTTTTCCCTCTATCTCATCCCTCTCAAGAGTACACACAAAAGACCCTGAAAATTTCATCTGCATCACTGCCAGAGTCCTCACATGAGGCTCCTGGCATCGTAGGCTCTGAGGCTCATCGTAGGCTCATCCCATCCTGGACTGAGGGGCACTGGGACCAGTCACACCTGGGTGAAGGGTGTAAAGGTCTTCCTAGGAGATTTGCATAATACCAAGGAGAAAACAAACCCAGAAAAACTAAAGCCTGAGGGAAATAAGACATCCCAAGAGGATAAAAGGTAGAAGAAAGAAATCCTCAGCCCACACAAATTCACCCCTGAAGGGCCCCTCATCTGGCTGCTTGGAGACTCCCCAGCTTGAGTGTTTGATGCAGCAAATTAACCTCCCTGATGGGATGAAGAGGCTGCTCCTAGAGCATTAGTGATCTTTCAGGAACATTTCTGAGGGAAGAGGGCTGATTTCCCACTCCAAGGGTCACCTGATCTCTTCCAAGTCAGGATAACTTAAATTGGTCAACCCTGAGAAGGACTGAGAAATTCTGAGGACAGGGCACATTTAAAAATGATACTGTACTATCTTTGGAAACCAGCTTTACACTAGTTTGGTCAGTAAAATGATACTTTCAAATGTCTTAAAGTCATTCTGATTCTTTTATAATCATTCCTCATATAGACTGAAGTAAATGGGTATCAGTAACTTGAGTAATGTTATCTGAAAACATAATATTTTAAACAATAACAATTATTTAAAAATTTAAACAACCATTTGAAAATTTTAAATAGTACATAGACATTAGCAATGTGACAAGATGTCCACAAGCATGGGTCTTAGATCTCTGCTTTCAATTCCAGCTCTGCTGATCATGTGTGACTTTGAACACATTCCAAAGATTCAGTTTTCTCAAAGAGAAAGTAACCATGTGTTGGAATCAAATGAGATGCTCTAGGTGAAGGTTTTATCCCTGTCTAGAATGTGATAGGTGCTCATTAAGTAGTAATAATTATTATTATTATTGCAATATAAAGGGTATATTCTTGGACTCAGACACATGTTCTTAGCAACAACCTCTTATTAATAGGAGGTTTGATCTGAGATTTTACACTGGTAGTGTTCACTGATCCTCGCCAACAGAAAGATCTGGTTTTGTGCAATGCAAACAGGTAGGTGCTTGTGACAAGGCACAGAATAAAAGAGGGAGAGGGAGCTGGAGCTGGTTCCAGAAGCAAAGTGCAACTTCTGAAGTCTATTCAGAGGGAGGGAGGGAGGACTTCCCTGTTCTCCTACAGCTGCACTGTCATAGCCCGACCTAGGGCAAGAGCACATTTCCAAAGAGCTGCTAACAGCGGGGGAATGGAGAAGCAGGCTTCAGGGAGGCTCCCTCTCAGTGCCTGGCTGTGGAGGATGCCGACAGTCCTGTAAGAAGGCAGAGAGGAAAACATGGTTGTGTCCAGGCGGAGAAACAGAATGGGTAGGGAACAACAAGGAGGAAAAGAAGAAGGAGCAGCTGTGGTTTGTCACTGGAGAGGTTTTATTATTTGTGTGGTGTATTTTCCTCCTCTTGACTCCTCTTCCTTCCACCATTCAGTGTCTCATTTCTGCTCGCTCTTCAGGTCCTCCATTTTCCTTTCAAGAAGCACTCTGTGTTCTAGAATAGAAGTCTCCAAACTCTACTGTACCATTCCAGAGAGCGAATCTTACAGCCTTTGCAGACCTTATGGTCTCTGTCAAACCTACACAGCTCAGCCATGGTAGCACCTGCAGCACAAGGGAGCCATGAGCAACGTGGACAGGCACGCCTGGGTACCAGTAGACTGCCTTTTACACACAGCCACCAGGCTGAGCCCTGCCCTGGACCCCTCCTGACTCCTGTTCTCCATCAAACCTTGCTCATTCTTTGTCCCAATGTTTTGGGCTCTGGCTCTGAAGCAGGGAGCACTGCTCATCTGTGCTGAGCCGCCCTGTGGAGTCAATGGTAGGTAGCATGGTCCGGTGTGTTCTTTCCAGTCAGTAACTTATGTGGACTGAGCAGGAAATGCTTGTACCCGAACAGTCACCAGTGTGGATGTTCAGGTGTCCCGGTGGGTGTCAGGGACAGAATGCTGAAGACTGAGAGATGGAGGGGGATTTTGGACTCTCGCAAAGTATGAACAGATATCACACCCCAGCTGCCAACAGAAGCTGACCATCCCCAGCTCCTGATACTATGTGTAAGGTGGGCAGGGGGCTCAATGCCTTCCCCTGACTATCTTGGGAAATTTCCAAACTGTTCTTGGATATTTACTGAGGATCCCGCCTCCTTCCCTGTTGGCAAAGCAGACCTTCCACACCCTTGGGATTCATCTGCCCCATGAACATATTCAATACACACTTATCAATTTGTCCAACAGAAGAAAATTCGAAAAGAGCCAGGAGATTTCATCCAGAGCCAGCAGGAATACTGGAAAGCAGAAGATAAAGAAAAACTTTCAAACAGCAGAGAAGTGCGTTGGAGGGAACGGCGGCCTCTTTCGGTTTGTCCATGCCAGAGCCTCCCACACCCAGATGCAGGCAGAGAGATCCCTCATCATTTAAGCTGACACCCCTCAGTGGAGATGAAAGGAACACCACTGGCTGCTCCCTGACAACAAATGTCAGCATCCCTGGAGGCCTTTTAGACACAAGCACAGCATAAATCTGACTCCTAGTGGGGAAGCCCAGAGATTAAGTCTCCACACACAGCCTACCAGAGTGAACTGAACTGGCTTGGCACACAGTTCGAGCATGTTTCTCAGTGTCTTTCTTTCCCCTTTCTTGTAAAGAGGAAAAAAAAAAAAACCTGGAAGAGTTCAGGGCTGTTGCAGTTCCACCCACTCGTTTATGACATAAGCAATAGCAGATGAAAGCCCCAGCCATGCTTTATGGCTGGAAGACAGAGCTGCACTACCTGTGAGGCCCTGTAGATTCATTTCAGGTTGTTGGAAAATTCCCAGCAGCCCATAAACAGGGGAGGAGATATCTGAGTTTGGCCCAGGAGGTGTAGGTGAGGGAGGGGATAAGAGACCCTCCTGCTAGGAAAGGAGAGGTAGGAATGGGCCTCTCGTGCTCCCCCAGGGACCAGCCTCATAAATG